AAACATCATTTCTTGCATTCGGAAAGCTTTACAGTTGTTGATAAACTGCTTAGATATCTTGGAGAAGATCTCTCACTGTCCATGGTAACAAACAAGGACAGGGACATGTGTAATATTCTGTCCCTTCGTATGGGTAGAATCTGGTAATAAAGAAATACCCTTAATGTGGAAGCTTGGAGAGAATTTTCTATCAAAACAAACTGTTTTACTTTAATTGCATTTGTTGCTCATGTAGAAAAGAAAAAAGGGTGTCCTGACAGCAGAAGGTCAGGACATTTTTTAGGAGGGTTTCAATTTGTTCTTCCTTATGAAGAAAAAAATGAGTATTCTTTTTAACTGTGGAAAATTATATCTGCAGTACCTTTTTTTCTTTTCTCCTGTGGTAAATTTGTAAGCTAGCATCTGATGGAATCAGCAGCTTTTTGCACTAAATGAAGCTGTCCCTTATTGTCTCACCGCTTTTTTCCCATCACCCATATTGTGATCACTAATGACACATTAACATTATTGTTAACAGTAATGCCATTGACAAAATCTGATTCTGCATGACTTTTTTTTTCTGATATAATGGAGAAAGGGCATAAAGTACTTCATCAATATGCTCTCAAGTCAATAATTTTAACATATGAAATTAAGATTTTAAAAATAGACTTATTTGCCGGTTTTAGAATTAAAAAGTGTATATGTAGTTCAGATCTTCCAAGATGATGAGATTTGTATTTTTTTCTCAAGCTATTTGTTTTCCTTTGTAATTAGTACTGGGAATGGCAAGGTCATAAATCAGCCTGTGTTCCTGTCTACCCTTCATCAGCTTTATCAAGAATGTCTGAACTTGAAATATATTTCTTATTTTAGCCAGTAAAAAATACGTTGTAATTGTGATGTGTTCCCTAAAAGAAAAACAGGAAACTTTCCTATCCTTTTATTGTTTGCATGAGCAATAGTTTTTGAAAGTTAGAAAACAAACTGCAACTATGTGGTTTAGTGGGAAATCTGAAGATGTGAATCGGCAGGCTTCTGTGATCCTGTAATTTCTGTCTGTCTCAAGCCTGTAGCAAGTACTTTTATCTTTACTTGCACCCACACACACCCATACACACATATATATATTTAGAGAAGAAAGGTGTTTTACACCTGACTAAGGCCATATCCCCAGAGAATCACAGAATCATAGAATGGTTTGGCTTGGAAGGGACCTTAAATACCATCTAGCTCCAAACCCCCTGTTTTTGGGGTGTTTTACTAGACCAGGTTTCTCAGAGCTCCATCCAACCTGGCCTTGAACACTGCCAGGGGAGGGATATCCACAACTTTTCTGGGAAACCTATCCCAAAGTGTTGCCACCCTCACAGTAAAGATTCCTATCCAATATCTCATTTAAACCAGCTTTCTTTTGGTTTGAAGCCATTCCCCCTTTTTCTGTCAGTGCCTGCTCTTGTAAACTCTCTACATCTTTTTTGTAGGCTCCCTTCAGGTACTGTCTTGTCTTAGAAAAAGTGAAATTACAAGGGATCAGTGAAATGACACTGTCATGCTTCTGGATAGATTCTGATGTGATTGCTATTTGCATTGAGATTTCTCAAGAAATAAGAAATAAAACTGTTAATATTAATTTCTGCCTATGCCTCAAATAAATACTTCTTTTTTCCTTGTCTGGCCAACAGCTCCTGTTGTTTCTTAAAGCCTTTACTGAGACAGAGCAGACAAAACTGGCAATGCTTTCTGGCATCCTGTTAGCCAATGGGACTCTTCCTGCTACAATCTTAACAAGCCTCTTCACTGACAATATAGTCAAAGAAGGTAATTTTCCTATCTTTTTTCTTATCTTGGCTTTTTTATAGGAGATGTATTTTATTACAACATATCATATATGTTGCAGTAAAATGAAAGTTGGAAACTTTTGACTGCACAACAGAAATCAGTATTTTAAAGCAGAAGCATATACAGACAGCATTGCTCAACATACGTTGTGATATCATGTAAGAGAACAATTAGACAGAAAAAAGCCACAAAACAAAAAACAAACCCCAAAGGATTTATGGTTTTTTGGAACTCATACTTGTGTGTGCAAAATTGTAGAATTTATGTATTATTGTGGTATTATGAAGGTGTGAAGCATAATATCTATTCCTAAGAGATCTGCTGGCATTTCTCCAAGTGTTGCTAATATCATGTAAGTGAGAAGTGGGACAGAGATCCCATACAGACCAATGGGATATTGCAGAAGAAAAATCAATCCCTCATTTTGCCTTCATGCTGGTAGTGATCAGTGACTGATAAACTTTCTCATGAATTTGTGTTTATCATATGATGAGTACATGAGTTTGTTCAGTCTTAAGGTACAATGTCTTTTGAGATTACTTTTTTAAAGGATTTTTGTTATATATTTTTAGCCATCCACGTCAGAGTCCTGATTTTGCAACTGCTTTCTCAACAGTTTAATTCTCTGACAGTTCTGACTACCTGGCATGATTGCAAATGTACTGGTAGTGTTGAGCAGTTTTCATGACCTTTTTTTGGTTTTGTTAAGGAACTTCCTATTAGCTAAAATGTATTCTAATTTTCATTTTAAAAAATATTATTCTGACTTCATGTTCCTATTTGCAGCATGCTAACCATTACATTTGTTTTCTAAATGCTGCAGAAAGAAAAGCCACAGCTGCAGCTTTGCTCTGTCATCGCTCACAGCTTTTGGAATCAGAATTAAACTAACAAAAATCTCAAACAAAAGCACTAATCCATGTTTTTAGGGTGATTGTCTGCAATGTGTTTAAGTGAAAGTCTTCCTAGTTACAGGAAGATGAGACATTGGAAAACCCAACTTTTAAAAATCATGGAAATTTTTTTATTTTCAATTTAGCATTTTAAGAATACAGTTCTTATTTGCATTATGAAGTTATGTTTTTAGGAGCCCTAAACTTTTGACAGAGCTTACATATACTTTAAGTTCTTGGTTTATATATACTAAAAATGTATTAATGACAGCATTTGAAAAGAGATTGTTCAGTCAGTATCTTGGGGTAGATATTTTATGCAAGAATAATTGAAGATGCACAGACAGTTTAAGAAAGGGGAACAAAGCAAGGCAAAATAAGTATCTCATACATGAATAAACTCAAAGATTTCTTTGATTTACAGAAAAATAATGCTGCAGGCAGGTGAAGTTAAAATACACGAAGAAACAATTAGGTGAGCTGAGGCAGTTGTTGTAGAGCATGGGAATTGTAACATTGGCTAAGAAATGGCTGGAAGTGAGATATGGGTAGATTGTGTGCACAGGAGATCTGTGAAGTTTGAGCGCAAATACCTAATTTATTTTTCGATTACCTTATTTCAGCATTGTCATTAATTCCACTGTTATATATAGATGGAAAATAAAATATTCTTTTGTGAATTGCTGACATACTTGTAGTAGAGAGAGAGAAAGGTCTAGGTGGTGGTGGAATCTTGTCAGGGTTAAGTGTACCCTTCTTGTCTCCTGTGCTGGCTAAGTAGTAGAAATGCAAAGAACAGCTAATGGGGTTAGTCAATAAAATAAATGGCTGGAATTACTGTCAGCAAATAAGGGGGAAAAGGAATGAGGCAAACAAAAAGAGAAGAGCTATTTAAAGGAAAGGAGTGGTAGCATGTGCACGGAGTATAGGAACAAGCCAGTGATAAATTTGGGCTGTAAATGAGAAGTTTGAAAATATGTGGGTAGTGAAGCCCTAGAACAGCCCGCCTCTCTCATTATGTAATCCCAGCCAGCAGTCAAGCCTCAGAACAGCCTCTTGCTCACTCCCACACCAGCAGGATCAAGGAGAGAATAGGAGGGGTAAAATCTGGAGAACTCATGAGTTGAGATAAAGACAGTTTAATGGGGAAAGAAAAAGTTGCACACACAAAGCAAAACAAGGAATTAGTTCACTGCTTCCCACGGACAGGGGTTCAGCCACCTCCAGGACAGCATTTAATCCCAAAACCCATCACATGTACTTAGGAGGACAAAAGCCATCACTTAAAATGTTTCCCCCCTTCTTGCTTCTTCCCCTCACTTCATATACAGAGCATGATGTCATATGGTCTGGAATATCCCTGTGGTCAGTTGGGGTTAACTATCCCTGCTGTGTCTCTTCCCAGCTTCCTTGCCAGCGTGGCAGTTGGAAAAGTAGAAAAGGTCTTGGCTCTTTGTAAGCCAGCAATAATTAAAACATATCTGTATTATCAACCCTGTGTTCAGCAGAAATCCAAAATAAAGCTCCATACAGCCACTGTGAAAAAGTGAAAAACGGCTGAAAACAGCAAACCCTCTAATACTGATACTGGCATAAAACTTATTTTGTTTTAAGCTAAAAGTAGAAAAAATGTGTACGATATGTGTACTGGGACAATGCTTGGTGGCAGAGACCATTCCATTAAATTTTGGTATTGAGCACATGGGTATGCTAAAGTGTGTTTGGAGTGGAAGCTCTGCCTAAGTCACCTACTGGTTGACGAGGCTTTGTGAATCTTGATTATTCAGCTTGCAGTATTTAGGATTGCTGCATCATGTCCAATATGTAAGACAAGCCCAAAGCAGTATTTGCAGGCATCACCTGGCATGGCATTGTGCATCCCTTTTTCGTACAGTACTTCCTTAAGGATCATGTCTTACAACTAAGCTCCTGAAATAAGCTTGCCAAAACTGCCATAACAGTCAAGATGTGTAAAGACTGTCAGTGAACTTTACAGTGGTCTGGGAATAGTCTCTTCTGTTCTTGTTTGGTGACACATTTAGTCCAAGTATCCTAGAAATAAAAATAATGAATATCTATCTATATAGTGCCTAAGAGTGATGAAGCTCCTTCTCACCAGTAGGTCCCATGTAGCTCTCAGAGCTTCTGGACTATCTGGAGGTGAGACAGAAAAGTACAGTGGCCAGCTGTAGCCTAGGATTGCACTTTTCATTATGCATTAGCATTATCACTGCCTTCAGTAGCCCTGATGTTGGTATGAGTGTAGTGTGGAGAATCATAACTGACCTACAGGCGACCTTCCTTAAGGATGAGCTTCATCTCTGAGACTTTTCAATTTCCTTCAGCTCCTTGCACTTGCAGCAGAGAATCTGGAGCAGTCATGGTAGTGGTGCAGCTCTAGGAAACAGGAGGTGTGGGCTCAGTGGTTTAGCTCCCCTGGGAAATCCACAGCTAGTGGAAGTAGAGTTCATTTGATTTAATACACAAAATACTAAGTTGTGCCTTGAGGAAGGAATTTTTTCACTTAAAAATAGTGTTTGTGCCTGGTACAACTGGTTACTAGGAGGACATAGTACAATCAATCACCTTGAAGTTGTGAAGTTATTTAACCCTATTCCAGGATTTGCTAAAAAACATTTGAAGATATGTTTTTTTAGTTCTTGTTCTTGATTATCCTTTATTGTTTCATGCCTTTGTTTCCTATCCTTTTAATGCATATTTTTTCCTTTTTCATTGTACTCAGTCTGTGAATTGGGAATGTAGAAAAAATAATTGCAAAGAAAATCTTCGAACAACTGAATGGAGATGGGCAATACTAAATGAAAATATTTTCAAACAATCTAGTATAATTCAGAAAACTAATTTTGCATCAAAGAAAAAAATAGGCATTTCAGCTCTATGTGTTTGTTTCTGTTGTCATAAATATATTTTAATTCCACAGTCTTGTAACTTTTTTGTAACCTTGAACTTCTTATAGACAACTCTAATTTATGTTGAAAATTGCTGAAACATGTTTTGTGCTTTTCTCTAATAGGGATTGCAGCCTCTTTTGCTGTAAAGCTTTTTAAAGCATGGATGGCAGAAAAAGATGCCAATTCTGTTACCTCTGCTTTAAGAAAAGCCAACCTCGATAAGAGATTGCTAGTAAGTACAATATATTTTCAATAATCTTTATCTCTCCCAGGGAAAAAGAAGGAAATGAAATGCAGATGGTAGTTTGCTGTAAGCATGTTAACTCCCCCTCAGACTCTGTTAGCGTTTCTAAAATGTTTTGAAACACAGCAATATTGTTATGGCTGTAGCATTGATACAGGTTCAGGAATATTAAGTATCACATGTTTTTACATCCTGTCTCTATTTTTCCTGTAGTCAGATGCCTTCTGAGAAACTGTTTTTTTTCTAACCACTGCTAACAAAGCATACCAGCAAATGGGCATGAGAAGATCTATTTCTTTAAATATGTTTTCTTTTTGTTAATGGTATATAAAGTATAAGGAGTTATGATTTGAATGTGTTTAAATAGTATAGTAAATTAATAGTAAGCTAATTTTTTGCAGCAGTAGCCATCTAGGTAGCATAAATAGTCCTGCAGTGTTGACAGCAGACCTAGTAGGTACAGTGCAGGAGGCTTTCAGCCTTAAGGCTCAAAACCTGTATTCTGAGTTTGTAGCAATTTATTCAGAGAATATATGAATATGTAGCAATTTCATGTGCCTTTTTCTCCCAGTGTCTTTCTGAAGATCATTTGGGATTTTTCAATCCTCAGAAAGATTGCTGCTGTGATAATGCAGTCAAATATACATCCTGGGTAGCACTGCCTGGAGATTCAGCAGTATTTCCTGTTTCTACCTCAATAATATATAATTAAGCAAGCATCTTTCAAAAGTAAGGAGCACCCCATGCCCCTCCATCTCTTCAATTTGTACTTGATTTTAGGTGTCCAAGTCATAAATAATTTGCCATTAAGCTGGCAAATGGGCTATTTTTACTGTTCATTGGAGGGGGAGGGCAGGGAAGAAAACTGCATCTTTTTTCTATTTTCAAGCTTGACTGACTTAAACTTTCAGCTGTTGGCTCTCATTACTCTGCTCTATTAAACAATTGTAAAGTATCAGATGTTGCCTAGCATAGATGCCTTCATGAAAGTTTCTTCTGAATTTCATTAGTCAGTAAGTAAATAGATGGAGAGTCTCTAGCTTCTTTGTTAAAAAGAATGCTATACATCCCACAGATCATTGTTAAAACTCCAAGAATGGATGGGAAGCAAATGTTGTCGAATGCTTTCTAAGATGGAGCATTTGCTATAGTGATTTTTTAGAATAATTTTAACTTTTCTAAGTAGCTGGACTTTGATAAATTGACAGTGTCTTCTAATTAGAAATGCCTACAGGAGTTAATGTTGACAGTGCATAGTGGATTTTGTGATTTTTGTTAAATTATGCATTAGTGGTAGGCCACGGTGCCTGGGCCACTTATCTATTCTTGAATGTATTTTTCTTAAGAGATAAGTGTGTGGATGTGCTGGGAGGGTGTGATAAATGTGCTTTGCCTATAATGGCTTTGCCACCTGGTCCTTTGTGCTTTCCTCACAAGACTCTTAGAATCTGGAAAAAGTATGGTTCCTCTTAGGGCTGTTTTGAGCAACATGTTTGGCTCATGGCTTTTGATAAGTACATGCACTTCACATGGAGTGGGTGTTAGCTTATTTGCATAACTGGACATCATTTTTTCCCTCCACTACAGTGAAACACTGCAATTTGAATGAAGTGTTGACTTTTCCAGTGTGGATACATGCAGTGTTTTAAGTGAGGTAACAGGTTATTCTCACTGTTCATTCTTAAAAAATGTTCTTTCCATTCTGCCAAGAGTTATGGTTGGTTATTTAACAGAGAGCATTCCTGTCTTTTTAGGAACTATTTCCAGCCAACCGGCAGAATGTGGACCATTTTGCCAAGTATTTTACTGAAGCAGGTCTAAAAGAGCTCTCAGATTTCCTCAGAGTTCAGCAGTCACTGGGGACTCGTAAAGAACTTCAAAAAGAACTACAAGAACGTCTCTCTCAGGAATGCCCAATTAAGGAGGTAAAAGTGGTTTTTTACAGCTTTCTGTTTATATAATCATAATCAAAGTCTAAAATAAACATTAGGTAGAGAGGAACAGATTTCCTCTGCTTTTATTTAAACTATTTTACTTTATTCATCAGTTCATTCTGTCCTTAAGACTAAAGCAACCAAATATCCTGTCAATTTCCCAGTGTAGTTGTCTGTGGGATGGGGAGGTTTTCCTTCATTTATCCTTGAGGATGTATTTCCTTTAACTGCATTAACTGTTAGGTTGGAGGGGAAGGACAAAATCTTGTTCTGATTTTGTGTCTTTATACTTCTGCACCATGGTGTTGTAAATGACTACAAGTATTTGGAAAGTCAGCATCATTTCTGGTTCATTGGAAATGTCCCTTATTTCCTTCTCCAGGTAGTACTTTATGTAAAAGAGGAAATGAAGAGAAATGAGCTGCCAGAGCCAGCAGTGATTGGTCTCCTTTGGACCTGTGTCATGAATGCTGTGGAATGGAACAAGAAAGAAGAGCTGGTTGCAGAACAGGCCCTCAAACATCTAAAGGTGAGTGCATGTGTGAAGAGGAGAAGAAAGCTATGAATTCACAGAACACATTCTTTGGCTGTTGAGTTTTTACCTGTTTAAATCCAGGAGATTTAGATTTTTGAAGGCTGATGCTGAGCATACCAAGCGTTGTGTATTGTCTGACTTCAGTCAAGTGGATGCAAAACTGAGGTAGTTCAGATCACTGAGTGCCCCGAGTCTCACAGTGCCAGGGCAAGCCAAGGAGGTCACAGCCTGAGCTCCTCTTCCTTGTGCTTTCCCAGGGTGCCAGGTCCCTGAGAGGCTCCTTGCACTGGGGCAGGGCTAAGCATCTGCTGGGACTCAGCCTGCTCACAGCTGGCTAGTAAACCTGACTAGTAAGCCTGTAGGAACTGCCTTTGCAATGTCTATGCCAGAAGCAAAGATATTTTGGGAGCATGGTGAGGTGGCTGTGCTGGCTGTGCAGAGGGCTGGATAGATCCAGGCAGGAATGCCGAGGCCAGAATCCGTGAATCGGTTGTTGCCGATGGCTGGCTGTTGTAGCTGGATACTCAGGGATTTGTCAAGTGACAAGCCAGGAGCTGGCTTGTATGTGTGTGCATACAGTGGTTACTCTCTCATCCAGTTACTGCCCTTGAGGATGAGGGAACTGAATACGTAGAAAGACAGGCTGCAATATTGCAGTACCATCATTGCATGTTGGTACAAAAACTCTATAAAGACCTTGGGATAGAAAAGAAACACTAAACCAATGCAGAGGCATCAATCACTGCCATCACTGGTGTTCTTCATCTAAGTCTGAAGTAAGTGTGCAGTGCAAGACACTGAATCTGAGAGCAGAGGCTTTTCAGCAGACTTAGCCCTTTTAAGCAGGTAATCTATGACCTGATATGAGAATACTCCCTCACAGCCAGGGGTTCAAAGGTTTGCCTTTGATCAGAAGCAATCTGGGCTTTATTCTTTATGGTAAAGTAGATCTTTCTTCATATTGGATGTCACTCCATACTTGGGTGTTCCCATGTCGGTTTAGCTCCTACTGCTGCTGTCCTTTTGTCTTAATTTGGTTTCCCAATCAGTAATCTTAGAAATGCAGTCGCTTGGGATATTGTGTAGTCTTTGATGGTAAGACTGAATGCCTTCAAGTTCCTTCAAGTGGCTCAAATAGCAGGCAAAAGAGAAGATGGTTTCCAGAAGAAGGAGAGACATTGTTTTTCTTGCTCTTTTGATGTAAAATTTTATTATCTCTCTTTGAGTTGTAACAAAGTATCCATTGAGATTTATTGTCTAGTACTGCAGGGCAAATTAACAAACACTTTCTGGAATATTTGAACTCTGGGAAAACAGAAACATAGCTGGCTTTGTACAAATCCTGTTGACTGGATGTCTAGTCCTATGCATCTCACTGACCTGATCCATCAGCTATGTGTGTATCCCCAGTGAATTAGGTAAGGCATCTTGCCTATATAAGATAGGCATCTTTCTAGGTGCATCCACTTTCTAAAAACAGGAAAATTTGTATGGGGTATTTACTATTTGCACTCAGGGATAAGATTTTAACAGAAGCAATAGCAATAGAGATTTGGACTTTGATAGCTGCTCCTTTACAGTTCAGTCTTTAAAAATGAGACAACATTTTTCACATCCTTCCTCTTAGGATAGGTGGAGACAGATCTTGGATCCTTCTCTTAGGGCTCTCGGCTACCTCAGTGTATGAGCCAACTCCAGAAAATAGATTAACACTGTTAGGAAAAATACAGAGCTCAGTTCTGTCCTCTCCTGTGTGTCAGTGTCCCAGGAAACAAGGAGGTGCTTTGACCCAGTGGTGTGATCAGGATGTGTATAAACACGTACTTGGTGTGTAATATGTCAGAAGGTGGGATATATTCTTGTATGGCTCTAGCTTACAGGTAACTTTCACAAAGAATGTTGCCAGAGGTTTGACATCTGACTACCAGTCTCTAACTTACCAGATTCTTTCAATAAGTTGTACACAAGGTACCCCTAAAAAGACGTGTCAGAACACAGAGCATTGACCTAGTTTACAGATCTTAAAAAGCCTTGCTGGATGGGTGGCTACCTGGTGGCAGGGTTGAGGCGGGCAGCCATGAACCAGCATACTTGGGCAGTGCAGTAAAAGTCATGTGTGCCATCCATATGGCAGGACCAGCAGGAGCTGACCTCAGGAGGAGACAGGGCAAGCTGTTCAACCATGGATCTCACAGAATAAGCTCTTCATTGTCCCAGTAACCTCACTATGACGCTGGGGCTTAGTGCCTAGGCCTCCTCCAGTACAGAGAAGAGATGTTCTCCATGGGTGAGGAGAATCTTCCAGACAACTCTCACTGAAGGCAAGGCTCTGGTGAGCTTCACAGTAGTGTGGGTGCTTACCTCCTGCTCTATAATATGGTGCAAATGGAAAATAATGCCACTTGCTCAGCCAGCAATGAGAAGAAGGTTTCTTAGTCAGTGAGACATTTGTGAAACTCATAACTGTGAACCTGTACCAGTTGAGAAGTGAGGGAGGAATGTGAAGGGGATAAAGTCAGATGTGACAAAATGAAGACAATTTACTTCCAAACTGAAAACATAGGATTTTTATTAGAAGTTATTAATGTTTATAGACAGCAGCACTTCACAATATGTGGATGGGGGCGAGTTCTGCTGAGGGTTTATTTTATGAAATAAACCAACTGCTTTGTGTATTTGCCCTGCCTCCCTGCAATTTGCCTAGATACCAGCTCGATGCTACAAGGGCTAAAATGGGAAAAGAGCTACTCAGCCTGCACGAGTTTTTCAGTGCTCTTTTCCAAAGCACTGACGTTGCTTCTAACTATGTGGCTATACCTGCCAGGAGCAGAAAAACTTGGCCTCTGGTGTTAGATATATCTAGCCATTTTAAGGGAGTTTCTTCCAAAAGTACTAAATACCATGAGCCTACTGAGCTGCTTGTTGCTATTGTGATTTTGTGCTCTCTCAAATAGCTGATAATCATTGCAAACCTTTCCATTTCAGTTGATTTTTGTGTGTTTTAGTAATTATTTCCATGGACCATATTGGGTAAAACCCTCACGATTTAGCCCCTTGCAGAGAGGTGCTGAAGTGTACTTTCAAACATGCCCATCAGTGCTATGGGTGATGGGTGGTTTGTCACCTGACAAAGACCAGCAGCAACCCTGGTCACTCAGACCAGAACTCCGTGTTATCAGGCCATTACAAATCCAGCTGCAGAACACCAAACTAGGGTTACTGAAAACTTGGAAAAAGGCTGAGCTGATTAGTGCAAGGGCAGATGAAATAGTAATGTATATTTGGCTATAGTCTCTGAGGATCAAATGTAATTTAACTTAATCTCTGAAAAATGCTCTTAATATTACCTTAAATTTAAGTCCAGTCTTAGCTGGACTCATCACAGGCTAAGATGACAGGAAATTGGAGACATATGGATATAGACACTGGCTTGTAAGGAAAGATATGGTCCTTCAGTGTAATTTTTAGTTTTAAGATCTGAAATAAGAGGAGGACATTGCATAACAAATACATTCTTGCTTTATTTTTTATTATATTAATAAACTCCAGGAAAAGACAACTACTGTCTTGTTTGAGTAACATTAGCAGTTAATACTGTGCTTGGAAAATATTGCTGTTTACCGAAGGGTATAATGAATTTCTTGATTGTGGTAATGAGAAAAAAATAAAGACAGTTGATCACAGTTAACTTGGAATTATTTACTTTATTTCAGTTTTCCTGGGACTTCTAAAACCCCTGTGAAACTAGAGACTTTTTTTCATGTATTTCATCTTAGGATGTCTTATGTTATGAACATCTGTAAAGCATCACTCCTGAATGAACAGAATGCTGCATTGTGAAATGTATGACAGAAGTAATGCCAGATTGTGGGCTTTATAAATTGATTTTACAGAATTCAGTGACTAAATGGTACTGAATTTTAGTTTACAGAATGCAGGACATGCTACAAAAATCATGGGTATTTGTGTATGTGCATTGTATGTGTTTTAGAAAATGCAGTGTGCAAGTAAATCTAAGGTTTCAGTGAAACATTTGCCGGGATGAAATTCATGATGTTTATTCTAAAAAAGTTTAAGTATACTGACTTGTATTTTGTTTTTTACCCTCTCTTCCTTTCAGCAATATGCCCCCCTGCTTGCTGTGTTCAGCACTCAAGGCCAGTCAGAGTTGATCCTACTCCAGAAGGTACAGGAGTACTGTTATGACAACATCCACTTCATGAAAGCCTTTCAGAAGATAGTGGTACTCTTTTATAAAGGTAAAAGTGTGTAATCCACTGTTGTATTCTGTGCTTGGATTCTCACTGTCAACCACTCTCCTATGATGTTTCATATAGTGCATATGAGAAGGCTGTGTTGGTGTTGAACTCCGGAATACTCTGTGCTTTGTGCTTACTTCAAAGGAGTGTGTGGCAGCAGGAAAAGCCAAAACAAGCTCTTCTCTCCCTCTCTTGCTTTCATCCCACATTCAAGAAGATGAGTAGGATCAAGTACTGTCCAGTCACTTCAAGTACAGTTTAGTCCTTGTATAAAACCAGTTCTAGGAAGACATTTCTATAAATTTCTGGCAGATTTCAGAAGTAGAGCAGAGCTTGGCTTTAAGAAACCTTGAAACTGCAAACCCTCCTAGCAGGAAGATTTTTCAGGGGTTTGAAGGTGGAGATTTTTTTTTTTACTCGCTCCCTAGCAGAAGGAGCTTTTCTTATTCTTCATTTCCTGCCAGTGTTTTGCAGGTGCTGTAGTTTTGATGGATTTTATTTTTATTGTGAAATTGACTTTTTCACAAGTTTATTCTGATCAGGTTGTCATAGAGACTAATGGTCTTGCACCGCGTGTGATGGGTGGGTGCCAAACTGTTTGTTCTGACGTTCTTGCTATAAATAGTTGTAGGAGAAAAATCAGCAGGAGTAGAAACCTAATGTTGATCTTTGTTCACCCTGTTGAGTCCAGGTACATGTTCAAGGCAAATGAGTTCCAACTGTTAAAATAATTTCATGGTTTCAGAAGGTAAAAGGAAGTGAGTCATGTGGATTTATTTCTGTCCTTCTTTCAATACAGTGTGGCCTCAATGATAAATGAAAAAGCAGTGCACCTTGTCCTTCTGCCCTCAAATTCTACAATTTGTAAAATGCTATTAATGACTGTAGAACAACTTGAAGCTGCAAGCCGCAGCAATCACTTGATTCAGTTTTCTTTGGAAAAGAACATTTGCTTCGGACATGGTGAATGAGAGGCATAATTGCAGTGTGCTCAAAGCATAACTGATGCTCAAACCAGAAATAGTCTTGTGTAGGATTGCCTTCAGAATTTTTGTAGATTCGTTACTGTGTTAGCCTGCAAGAGCAACCCTGACATTCCAAAGCATTTCAAAATTAAAAAGAAAATAAATCATTAAAAATAAGAATTGTATATTAAACTTAACGTGCTTGAAGACCCTAGTTCCCATCTACTCAGCTAACCCCAGGTGCTCTTGTTCTGACTCTGGAGATTATTTGGGCAGGCTTGTTCAGAGGGCTGGGAAGACTTCAGCCTCAGCACTACAGGTGCCACGATACTGTTTAGGACTCACATGATGTCTGGAGTTACTGTATGATCTGTCCAACATATGCAATATGTGCTGTGCCTGTATTCCTGCTTGGAATATCCGGGGCGGGTGTGCTGCAGCACCTGCCTCTGCCATCTGATGCAGTCATGCGGCAGCACAGCTGCCAGCCCTTCCTGACCCTGTTTAAGCTGAAGCTGGATCTGCCCTGTTTGACAGACCTGCTGCCTGCTGGCAGCTGCTTGCCTAACCTTACAGCCGCTGCCAAAGGCCCTTCTGGGTGCTCGATGTTGGGAGCATCAGCTCCATCTGGTTTTGGCAGCTTTGGAGTTAAACAGTGTCCATTAGGTGAGGACATGCTACTTTGTCAACCATGGAAGATTCTGGGAGCACCAGGCCTTCAATTCCTGTTTCTTCTACATGACTCTAATTGAGCTTTAATGGCTCATGGTGTGGCTTGTGGAGTGCTGTGCTGCCTGCCTCTTCTTTGTTTCAGTGCTGGTAGATTTCACCCTCTCCTTCTCTCCAGTTCATATCTATCCACTAAAAATAAGCCATCAAATCCTTTTAGAGACGTACACTTTATTTAGATAATTTCCCAGTGACAGCGTATCTTCTGCTTCCTAATAGCTGAGGAAAAAAGCCCCCTAAAGCTGTTACTGGCTGTGTCAGTGGTGAGGGAACAGCAGACACCCTTGTTCTCCTTTCTGTTCTTAAGTGTAACATGCACAAGATCTGGAGAGGTTTCAGGGTCCCTAACGAACTTCATCTAGTGACAAATAAAGGTGTCTGAATATCTGAATGGGCATATAGAAATGCAGCTTTGTGCCAGCACGAATGTGGACAGTTTGTTGCTTGTTACTCATTATGAGGGAGTGCTTCCTGGGCTTAAAAATAGTCAGCAATGATGATAGGCACCTAATGCCAGTCATGCTTTGACTAATTTAGTTCTATGACTACTCTCATCATCATGTCCAACATCTTGCATCTCAGTGCTTTCCAAATTTCCATCATAAAATAGCCCTTAGATTACTTTCCTGTGAACTACCTGGAAATGCCTAAATACATTGACAGCTGGGGCTTGTCAGCACCTAAAACATCTTAAATGTCTGTGGTGTTGATTTTTTTACTATTCTGTCTCTAAACAGGAAGGAGCATCCACTTTTTCTCCAGTATAAACCCAAGCCCTCTTTTCCCTTAAGTAGCAGCAGCTTCTTACCAGCTTGTAGGTATCATTTGCAAAAGCAGTTCTGTAGTTGGTTAAAGCTTGTTGACATTATTATTTATTATTACTATTCTACCCTTGTGTTCCTGACACAGTATAGAGAAAAATATAAGAGAGCAGTTCTCTGCTGATCCCCAGCTATCATGTTGCTTCTCTAGTTTTCACTTAAAGCCAGTACAGTTGTTAAATTGACAGCTGCATTTTGACCAAGCTCTAAAAGCCAGTTGCAGAATAAGAATTGCTGAATTCTGAGTGGCACTCAGTAAGTTTGCTGGTTTCCTTGCATTGTAAGATGTATGTTGTTTGTTAGTTCCTTCTGTGTTGCAGTGTGTCCCTTAAGTGTTGGTAAAATCAGCACTGTTGTTACTGGAATACGTGCTACATATCATATTCACCTGTTGATCCCCTTTCTTTTAATTCGGATGTATCCTTGAAATTTCAAATGTGAAATCTTGACATTGTTGAAATTAATGATCATTCCTTTCATGAGGATCAGAATTTCACCCTTTGAAAGGCAAACACAAACCATCTGTGTACTTCTTCATTTGAATTCAAGACA